CCCAGGGGAGGGGTGAGTGGATGGGTAACTGGGCGGAGGGGAAGTGTGTGAGTGGCTGAGTTACATGTGGTGAATAGATGGGGGGCCTGCAGTGGACGGTGAATGGATGTTATGCATAGATGATGTATGATGGGCAGATCATAGGTGAGCGAATGGGGAATGGGTGAGGGTGAATGGATGTTACGCATAGATGATGTATGATAGGCAGATCATAGGTGTGGGTACAGTCGAGCGAATGGGGAATGGGTGAATGGGTGTGTGCGCTGTTTGAATCCACCACGGGGTGTCGCCCTGCACCAGTTGGAGTACTGGGCCCTGGTGAACGCTGTTTCTGACCAAAGTGGACTTTAAAAAGAGGAACCTTTTGTCCCAGGCAGTGGTGAAAGGTTCCCCGGTGACGCAGGCTTGTAAACAAGTTGAGAAGACGCTGCGCAGCGCGTGCACGTCAAAGCGAGACCTGCAAACAGCGCCTCCACGACCTTGGCCCTGCTCCTGGGCTCCGGGGTGGGGTTGGGGGGACGCGCTGAGCGCGAGGTCAGGAGTCCTCCCTGCTCCTGCGGCTGCAGAGCTGAGGCAGCCACATTTCCCAAGCTGCAGGAAGGTGTTGGGGTGGTGGTGGGGTTAAGGATGGGGATGTCTCCAAAAGCCGGAGCAGTTCCTTTGGCCAGAGGCACACGCCCTCCCCTTCTAATCGCCTGATTTCCAACTTTATTGGGAAAGCGACATCCTATGTCAAACTCCAACCCCACCCCCGCCCTTCCTAGCCTTGGATCCATCAGAATCTGAATTTATTTTGAACTTGATTCAGGCTCACATTTTGAACCCCATCCTCCCCAAACACTAACTAATCCAAGGCGCCTTTTCTCCCACTCTGCAGGGCCTTTTTGTGCAAATGCCATTCCTAAACCCAAACCCCAGTCTTCTAACTCTAATCACAGCACCTCTTCAACCAATAGCAACACCACCTAACTCAACCCAGGTATGGACCAACTCCATGCCCACCCATGGACTCGTAGACACTTCAAAATACTGTTTTTAAAAAGATAGACAGGAAATGCACGAATTCTTTGTGGGTGTTAACGTCCCGATGATACAAATGAGGTTGGCTGCAGTGTCTCCCTTCACCAGCTACCGTGTCCTGCCCGCCATCTCTTCAGAACGCTCAGCGTTGCAGCTGGACCTGCATCCTTTCACCAATGGGTCATCCTAGCCATGCGTTCCTGCGCCCTGCTTTTTAGACAATGCTGTCCATGAAACTACTCAGGCGGCCTTCACGAGGCTGTGGCAATGGTCCAGGAGGAGGAGGATCCTGACTGTGGGGCAGGGAGGTAGCAGTGTACAGAGTGAAAAGTGGCCTAGTCCTAGATACATTGTGAGGGACTCGCTGGGATAGGCCATGAGGCGAAGGAGCTTGTGAGGGCCTGAGCACCTGGGCGGGCCCAGAGCAGGTGGGAGAGCGCTGGGCGCTGCAGGTGCTCTCACTGCCAGGCCCCTGGGCCTGCTTGTCACTCAGCAGGACTCCAGCTCACCGATGCATTCCCATGTGGAGGACTCAGATCCAGACCATTTGTTCAGTCACGTATTCACTCAGCTGATGTTTATTCAGCTTCTGTTCTGTGCCAGGAATGAGGAAGGAGCTGGGCTGTGAGATGGTCTCTGTCCCCATGGAGTTACAGCCCAACAGGGGAGAGGGAGGTCCATCTGATGAAGGAATGAAACACAGCGAGTGAGAAGGACAGGACGGGAGGCCCTGTCTGGGCTGCTGGCCTCGCCCTGACTGTGGAGGAAATGGGAGGCACGGGGGTGGGGGAGTGGGGAGTCCCTCCCTTCACCTCCACAGTCCAGCACTGGCCTGGAGAGGTCAAGGACAAGAGGAGGAAGGCACAAGGTGTGTGCAATGGCAGGGACGATGGGGCCACGGAGGAACAGAGGGGCGAGGAGAGAGACAACAGGGAGCTTACACAGAGGAAGGTCAGCGAGGCCTTTTTACGGAGGTGTTTGAGGAGTAAAGCTGAGACGGAGCCGGGCTGGCATGCTCAGGGTGAGGCTGGGGAGGTGGGCAAAGCCTGCGAGGAGGCCCTGAGGTTGGGAAGGCCTTGGGCAGCTTGAGGACCTGCACCAGTGTCAGCTTCCGCTGAGAGAGGCCACCCTGACAGGGAGCACTCAAACAGTGGCCACTGGTTTTGCTCACAATTCTGTGGGTCAGCCATTTGTCTTTGTTCTGCCAAGTGGGTCTCAGGCTGGGCCCAACTGAATGCACTGGCATGTCTGACATTGCCTGGCAGGGGGCTGGAGGTGGGAACCCCTGGAGGTCTCTGGTGAGAGGCCTGTGTCTGCTCCCCAGAGCTAGCCTAAGCCTGGGCGTGAGAGCAAGCTGCAAGCATGGTGGGCCCCAGGCTCAGAGCAGCACAATACCGCTGTCTGTGGACCAAGGTGAGTCAGGCTGGCCTAGACTCAGGGAGGAAGGGGCGAGCAGTCCCCACACCTGGACAGGAGGAGCTGTGGGGATGGTGGCTGTGCTGCATGCACCGTGGCCAGTGAGCTGGAGCTGAGAGCAGGGTTGTGGTGTGGCCACAGGGGTTGGACTCTTCATGTGGTTCCAAGTGCAAGGGGAAATGACTTAAGTGGGAAAGACTTAATCTAATTAAAATTTCCCCAAACCGGATGGACTGAAGTGGACAGGAGTAGATGTGGGAAGAGGAGGTGCTGCCCTGTCCTAGGATGAGGGAGGGGGGGCTTGGACCCGGCCCCAGGAACCGTGGAAATGAGAGGCAGGAAGAGCATCGGCTGGACCAGGCGACAGGCCGCTAGGCCACTGCCGGCCAAAAGGGAGTGTTGTGGGTGATGTTTCAGGTTTCTGGGCCTCAGAGTTCCTTGCCCAGACAACTAGGAGCCTGTTCCCAGGCCTGACCCTCCCAAAGGGACCTGTGCATGGGCGTGCTCCCGTAGGCCTGGGAGAGGCAGGGGTGCTGTTTGCAGAGGCAGACATTGCTGTGTACAGAGCTTGTGCCCAGTCCTGGGGGTCATGCACGTTTGAGCGAGGCCCACAGCTCTGGATGGAGCTGGGGTGTGGAGAGATGGGTGTCCTGGGTTCCACAACTATTAGGGGAATAACTGAGGTTTGGTTGTGTCTGAGAGGCACCCACGTGGAGACAGCAGTCAGAAAAGACTGGGATTTAGAGAGCAATCCTGCAGGAGATAGAAATCACTGGCAAAACCATGGAATAAATGCCACAAACACTGATGACGACACTTGGGAAAGGCCTGTCCCAGGCCATGTACAGTACCAGCACACAAGTGTGTGCTGAATAAGTGAGTCAGGGTCAGTGAGGGAAAGAATCTTCACACCCTTCCTCCCCACCCCCGTCCCCGCTGCTTCCT